TTCGATTAAAAGCGGTAGAGAGATGCGGCCGTGTAACGAAGATTCATATTTGATTACAGTTCGAAGCTATTGTGCGGCGAGCTAGCTCTCTGCAGTCGTAAAGCTACGTCACGGCCGTAGCTGGTTACCAGAAGAACGATAGCACAGATGAGAAAGAGAGATAATGTTTCTAATTTCCGAAACGAACCCGTGTGACGACTCGGCGCACAGGAACGCTTAGTCGAGGCTCTCTCCTCCCGTCTGTACTAGGCTCTCTAAACTGTCTCGCTAAATGAAATCACACTTCTCGCACGAAAACTCTGTCACTTCTCGAGAAGAAGAAAGATAAAGGAAAACAACTCCGTGATCGTCCTGTATGAGTTTCGTGAAAATGTACGTGTGCAGCGGGACAAGGACGAAGAAGAAGAAAATTCATAAAGTTGGATACGTCCATCACATTTGTTAAATTAAATCACAGAGGCTCTGCCCCGAGGTCTCTATTATCACTTTAAAAAAATCATTACACTCGAAGAAGTTTGCCCGAAGGGGGCCAAGGTGAGCGAAGATGAACAGGCAAAGGAGGAGGAAGGAGGCACAAAAGAGCGAGGAGCGGGGCGTACATTTCATAAAGTTAGATGTGCCATTCGTATTTGCCAGGGGTGGCGGCGGTGGTGGTGATGGTGACGGTAGTGGTGGTGGCAGTGGCTCAGCGAAGGCGGTGGGGGTTGTATCTCTAACTCGAGCGCCTATAACATCCATATCTATATCCCATGTACCGGGTGTCCAATAAATCTATTACCCGGTCCCGTGGGGCTGGAACCGGCGGGTGCCATACAAACAAATACACGCATCTCGTGGTACACGTACGTGACTACCAGCGGCGTATAGACTGCATGAGGGATTGCTCCGATGCGCCTCTATCTCCGTTATGACTTCCAGCCGAGCGCCACGAAAGGCGATCACGCCTTTTTTCCTAGCTACCGCATGTACGTCTACCTTTCCTTTATTCCCTCCATCCTTCTTTCCTTTCGTCCTCCGGAGCGGTATCTATATTCGTTTTTGCCAGACCTTCCTAGGGGACCTGTCTCTGCGGCTTCTTCTTTGCCTACCACCCACTGTCATCTTCTTCTCCTTCTTCTTCGCGTTTTAGGAACAGGTGTTGTCCTGGAGGAACAGTCATCTTCTATCCTAATCATCTTGCGAGATTCTAAAATTCTCGATAGAATTGTGCGTTGGGGGGGAAAAATAACGAAGACTAAGCTAGAGATGGAAGAGTGGAAGGTGTATTGGTGAAGAAGGTAGAAAAGGACTGGAGGAGTCTGGTGATTCCCTCGCGGTTGCGCAGGTTCAGCGACGCGATCGGTTAGCTTCGAGGGAAGCGGAGTGAGAGGAGACCACTTTCCGAGCAATTGTCATGGACAAAAAAGCCCGTGGAACGTCGAAACGACGCCGGGAAGCGATAACCGTCGACGGATGGACACGCGGTTGGTCGACGGACGGAGGCGCGGCGTAGACAAACGAAACGAAGCCTGGCTGAGACCGGCTAGAAAACGAGCAGGGTGGTTGGTCGAGGGGTGGGGGGAGAGAACGGAGGAAAAAAGGGTAGAGGAAGGGAGGCGGAAAACGGTGAGGAGCAACGAGGCCCGGTGGAGGGCAGGGAAGAGTAGGAGGGCACGGTAATACGCGAGACGGAAACGGGCGGGAAAAAGGCAGTGCCTAGCGGAGAATAAAACCAGAGAAATTGTCATTGTGCTGAAGAGGTCCGGGCATATAACAATGACAGCGGCTGACGCAGCATCCCGCAGCTACAGATCATCCCTGGATATTAAAAAGTCGGCCTACCGCGCGCGCGACTCTCTCGTTCTCTCTTTCCATCTCTCTCTCACATTTTCCCCACTCACCACCCCCACCGCCGCCACCCTTTCTTCTTTTTCCTCCTCTGTTTCTTTTTTTCTACGTTTCTCGCCCCTTCCAGCGGTATCCGGGAACGCGTAACCGATACCAGGAACCCCCGATGAAGATACCAAGCATCAAGGATGGTGGTGGTACCCCCGTGGCTGGTGTGTTCTCCTTGTCCTTTCCTCTTTATGAAAACAATGGCGAGTACTCGCGATTTCGTGTCATCGACTCTCCCTCTCTTCCTATATCGGTAGGAATTGTCCTTGCATCGCGAGAGAGAGAGAGATGAGGTACTTGGGGTTATCGAGGAGGAGAGGGCCGGTATCCTGAAGGCTGGCGTTCCCAGGCTTCTGGCCGGGTGGTTCGGGAAGAAAGGGGTCAGGTTGAGCGGTTCCGGATGACTTGGACGAGAACGGATACGTCAATGCGACTAGATAGAAGAGAGGGAGAGGAGGGGAGGAGGAGTTTGACGATTGCAACGGGAGGGTAGTATTGACATTCCTGTGGCATGGAATGGTTAGAATGGAGCGGCAGCTTCATGGACGATCTTGCCCTAGCGGAATAACGCCTGCCTTTGTAGCAGGAGACACGCGGGGGAATCGAAGGAAGTAGGCACCGAATTAACCGAAGATTTAAACCGTCGAGCTAAGTATTATTGGGTGGGAAGAGAGTCTAAAGAGAATTCCCTATCCCTCGATCCCTGGGGTTGATTATTAGCGCTTGTCTCGCCAAGTGGATTATCCGACGTTTTATGATGTGTTCCTCCTGCTCCCACCACCCCCTTCCTCGTTGTCGACCAGGCCAGAGATTGAAATGTTCCTTTCGAATTCGAGAACGATAGGAGAAAATGACAAGGGAAGAGAGAGAGAGAGAGAGAGGAAAAAAGAAAAAAAAGAGGAAGAACCAGCGGTAGGAATTTGGAATTCTGTTAGTGTCATGCTGTCGATACTTTTCGTGTCCCGATGTGGATGGGATACGGAGATCCACCGAGAGAAATGAAATATTTCCATTAGATCCGCAACGATAATCCATCGGGCTCTCGCTGCACGACCGCCTCTGATGCTGGAATTCATCAGGACACTCTTCTCATGAAGTATTCAGTAACACATTGAATTAATACCGATCAGCCTGGCATCCGCGTGATGGCTATTAATGGCCGCGTGTCGGAGACCGTACGGAAAGATCCGTTCACCATCGATCGCCCCGTCAAAAATCCTGAAATCCTTCCACATCCCACTTTTCTTCAGGCATGCTTCGGACTAGGAAATTATTTCCACTCCGTACATCGTTTCGCGATGAAACTTCGTCGCGGCAGAACACCACCGTGAAATACGTTCAACGTGAAAATACCACTCCGAGTGGATCTCCTATACGTACGTGTATCTTCCGAACGTGTAAATCGAGGCAAAGCGAAATCACGGATCGCAAGATGAATAATGAGCCTGCCTTATCGTTGGTGTTTCGTGGATCCAAACGAAAATCTAAACGCGTCCATCCCGGCATACTATCGCCACGGGGAGCATTGAGTGCCGTCCAAAATTCGGTGCAAGAGTCCTAGTGCGGCCACTCGACGGGGAGGGTAACACATTGCATTGCAATGTGCATCCGTTGTTCCTAGCTGGCTATGGTGTGCGTATACAGGATCATGCAAATGTGACGCGTATGTGATACTCGTGTGGCCCATGACGTCTAGTGTCCTGCTGATGACGTTTACTGCAACCACGCCCTGTCCGTGCTCGTTCGACGTCCATCCTGGACAGGCATCGACCTCCTTAATTACCAAGGATTCCGCTAACGATCTAGCCAAATACATCTTTCGACTTCGATTCCTCCGCTCCCTACATCTGTTCCTCTCCATCCAAACTTTTAATCTCCAACAATCTCGCCACTGGTACACGCACCACCTTTCATTTTTACCGTACAAAATTGTACACCATTTGTTCGTTTCTCAATAAAAGCACATTTAAATCTTCCCTGTTGTAGTTTTCTTGTTAAATATATATTTGAGTATTCGAAAAAGAAAAAAATATGTGGAATATTCCGAGGGTCCTGTCAACGGTGGGTAGTTGGAATTTTATCGAACGATAAATTTCTTTCGATCAGATAAATAGGTCATTGTTGCCAGGCTGAATTCCATAATGACGTACAGCGGGAATTTCGAGCACGATTTAGCAATAGCTGGTAAGCCGCGGTAACCACCGTATGCTGGCCCGGAAACGTGTTGTAGTTGTGTGCGCCGAGCCAACAAATTTTTCATCGTAACAACGGCGTAAATGCACTGAACATTCCCCGAGCATCTTCCCTTCGAAAATTATGCCTTTCCGATAACCACCTTAAAGTCCCGTCGCATTTTCCTTCCCACGATTCTCTGAAAAATCGTTTAACAAATATCCTATTAAACACACCTAGCCTCTGATTTCCCCGTTCGACGATGCATCCGGTAATCTTACTGTCGTCGACGTTCACGATTCTCCGGAGTCGCCCGACGAAACGACGAAAGAAAAAAGAAATTGGAAAGAGCGAGAAGGAGGGAATGTCGAAAGGGAAACCGATGGTTCGCCACGTGATTCCACACGAGTGGTATAAAAAACGAGCAAATTGTTTTATTCGCCGGCGGTACTCACGGTTGAGCAGTAAATCTGGACCCACCGACCGACATCGAGAAGTCGAACACACGACAATGATATTCGATGGGAGTTTCGAGCACGACATCGAAATATCTGGTAGGCCACAGTGGCCAGAGTATGTACCTACTCGGGTACGGAAATGTCCAGCGAGATAGCCACTCGTAACGAACAATGGCCGATTCTGGTTTCGCCAAAGTCGACCGCGTCCCTCCCCGTGTATACAGGAATCGCTCTTTCCTCTCTCTCTCTCTCTCTCACTCTCTCTTCGTTCCCATCCCCACGTGGTTCTCTGGGTACCGAACCGCCATAATACACGGTATCGCTACTTCTGCCAAGTGAGCGACTTCCGTCTTCCTTTTCGTTCTGCACGACAATGGGACACAAATTTAAGAGTGTCTGCGAGAAAGCCGCGTACGCTCGTCTTCGAAAAGCTCTCCTCGAGAGACACAGAGAGAGAGAGAGAGAGAGAGAGAGAGAGAGAGAGAGAGAAAGACGGTGGACGGGGGTGCGTTTTCGTGAATAGACACATCCCTATTGACTGACGATCTTCCTTTTGACGATTCTTTTATTTTTCCGTCGTCCTAAAGGGGAGACTATTTGCAACTGACTACGATTCTACTTGACGAATTCATCGTTCTACGTTTCCAAGTAAAAGACGGCATTCTAGACTATTTTTTTCCACGGGGGAAATGAAATTTCCTGAGTGTGAAAGGAAGATGAAACATTTGGAGACTTTGGCCAGTTTTTCTCCACCGAGGCTCCAGCTTGTGCGATCTCATCTTTATGAGAACATATGTGAGAGATATCGAGCTAATCTTCGCCATTTTTCGTAATACTACCACTGACCGGTGGACGATCGCAATGAATTTCGGGATTTACTTGAAAATCTACGATTTTCGAGTTCCCTTACGAGAGCAATTCGTCGACGAAATCAATTAGAATGAGGGGTAGAAGTCGTAAAGTAGAGAATGGAAGGGAAAACGATGTGTCAGACTCAAACCTTACCAGAAAGGCGATTGATTATGATTTATGTCGAAGGATATTCGCATCGGCGAGTTGGTCGTGTTTCGCGATTCGGAAAATTTCATTTGCCATAGGAAATCTGAGCGTGACTATGGTCGATAGCTCGTGGACGTTCAATCTTTCCGATAGAATTCCTCCAGGAACGATTACGTTGACCAACAGAACTATA